TTCCTTGACTTACTTTCTTCGCGGTACTAACCTTTATTTTATTTTTTTATTTTTAATTTGAAAAAAATAATTTTTGAGAAATAACCCATAATTGTGTTATGAGAGTTGTTTTTTTAAACTCAACAAGATGATTATCACATTTGATAATAACGATATTTAATAAATACCACACTTCTAAAGCTCGATAAAATGAAAGTGTACTATCATTTAGCTCAGCCAGTCAACTGGTTAGTAATAGTTAGTAGAACCAGTCGGTCGAATCTGAAAATCATGAGAAAAATCTCAAAACTACCAAAATCAAGGGGCTTGATGAGATTTTTATATTTAAAGATCTGACTACTTATGTAGCAACGCGATGGTTACTATTGAGAAAATAACCTTTGAAAATTTCTGTAAAAATTGTTCTTTTAATCCAATATTCTGGTCTAACGAGGCTAAAACACTTCTTGGATTTAAACGTGTTCCATTGATCCATATATGTATATGTTAGATCATCCATATAATCTATCTAGACATATCCTCATTTAATTGTAACATACTCACATCTACTTATTATCACAAGACCAACTATTTCATTAACTTTGAAAAATAGGGATACTTATCGTGTGAATAATATTTTTTTGAGATTTTAATTAAAGTTTATTTTTTAGTTTATAAAAAAAAATATAGTTTGACTAATAAAATATATTTGAAAAAATTATAAAAATAAAGTTTTTATATAAAACAGTTAATCATTTAATACAACTGAATCCAACTAATAAATTAATTAAGTAAGAAAGCAGCACATTTTTACCATGTTGTGTTTAAGAATAATAATATATAATAAATATAATGTTTATGTAGCATGACATGATAAAAATATATTATTTTATAAAAAATACCTTTTCAAAATATATTATTCTATAAATGTTTTTGTGCTAACTTGACAAAAAAAAAATCAAAAGAATTGGCACGTTTGCATGAGGCTTCGAGGAAAGAATATTCGGTTCCATTTTTTGGGACATATGGCAAAATCACCATAAACAATCGCTCGTGTCCAGTCACTGCGAACATGCCACCATAATGTTCCTTCTTCTTCTTCAGCAAATACCTTTTGGCGGGACTGGACAGTATGTGATGTCTTCAGGACCATCTGGTCATGAATTTCGGCCGTTTCGTTGCACGCCTACAGATATCAGAGTTAAAACTAGCGCAGTCAGGATAAAACGCTTTCCAGTGGAAAACAAAGTGTAGTCATTAGCAATACATGGTCTGTTCCATCAGAAAGTTGAAAACTCTATAAGATATTTCAGATTTTCAAATATTTCACGTCATTTATTGATTTGTTAAATTTTAGACATTTTAATGCTTTCATATTTATTTATGATTATGAAGCTGGACCACTTGAATATAGAAGAATTCAAAAGCCACAATCCCCATTGACAATATTTTACCGAGGTTAAATTTTAAAAATTGTAGTTTAACTGAATACTAGGTTTATTTTTAGAAATCACATTTTGAATTTTATAAATCTTAAAAATATTGAAAACTTAAATAATTATTAAATTTTAATTTTTTAAAAAATTAATTAATTAAAATACACGTGTATGTATGTGTGTGTGTGTATTACCGGCTACGTGCTAATGTATATCTAACACTACTCTATTTAAATAGTTGTCAGACTTTATGTTTTCTGTGTATGTGTGCGTGTGCGTGTGCAAGATCGAGGAGTGTAATGTATCTTATTTTATCTGTTGATGTAAAATAAAAGCTTCTAAAAACCAATTAAAAGTGGTTCCTAGCTATTTATCAATGGTTTATATTTCCTGAATAAAAGTAACATTTATTTTATAATTAGAGTATCCTCAATCTTGTTTTTATATATCATTTTAAATTCATCTTTCAGGTTAAAAAAAAACTATTTATATCAAAATTAATAAATTTCTGAAAAAAAATTCCTTCTCAACCCTTTTGAAGTTTAAAACCGAGAGGCGCAGAAAGCTAAACAACATCGTATCAAGATTTATGAGGCATTCTATGCTATTTTGAGCCTCCGCCTCGAACAATAGGACTTTTATCCATTGTTGGGCCTCACACTGCTGTTTTTACCCACCACACCTTCTTAGTAGACTCAAGAGTTCTGAAGAGGCCTTGCAAGGCTTCATAAATGTTGGGCTCGAAGGCCTGTTTAAGACTTTTCGATCCTAACAAGACATCTCGAGCTGTTTTTGATTTGCCCAGCTCTAGTCTATAAAATTAAACTGCCGGGATGGGGTCAAACTATTAAGCATGTTAACCGGCGGCGTGTGTTACCCGCTTACGGCCTTAATCATGTACGTCGATACGAAGTGCAGAAGGTTTTGTTTTGTTTTGTATTTTAGAAGTATTTTTAAAAAAATTAATTTTTTTTATTTTTTTATTTTTAATAAATAATTTTTTTTTTATTTTTTTAATAGGTTAATGTTAAAAATAATTTTTAAAAAATAAAAAAATATATTTTACTATATTTTCAAGTAAAAAACATTTTAAAAATAACCATAACCATATTTTTATGCACTCATGTAAAAATGATAATTCTTAAAAGTTTTAGAATATGATATGTAAAGATATGTTAATTTTTTAATATTTTATTTAGAATATAATAATAATAATAATTTATTTAATAATCAATAAAGTCAAATTTAAAAAAAATCAATTATTATAATCAAATGAATGCAATATTACGTGAAAGAAAAGTATAGGTATCCTTTTTTTTCTTTGCAATTAAATAAACTTAATTATCTAAAAATAACTATCTAATTAACATGATGACTATGAAAGGAGTGGTGATATTCTTTTTGCTCCAAGAACCCAAAAATAAACTTACGAAGAAAATCAATTGAATGTTTGAGTTCTTTACCGCTCTCTTTTTCTATTTTGATCTTTTATTATTTTAAATATCAGTACATCACCGGTCGAAATTCCTAACAGTATTCACGTTAAAATATAAGGCTCTTTTCTAGAACAAAAAATATAAGGTATTCACATTAAAATATAAGGTCGCGTATTACCAAAATTGAAATCAAAAGGCAATACATTGCTAAATCTCAAAGTACCTTAGCAGACGGTGCCACGAATCTTCGATGATGATCGATGCGACTCGAAGCAATGATTCAGGAAAAAGTATTTCACATTAAATCAAGCCGCCGTCCGCATGTTTATTTCATATCTGTGTCTTCTTTTATATCTCACCTATCATATAAGAGATGACCCTTTGAGATTTTATCAAATTGGAAACCCTACCTACAGTTGCTTGCATTATGATTTTGGTCAGTTTTCTCTTTGACGTCGATAAAAATATGTTTCGAAGAACCCACCTAGGCACGTAGCTAGCTTACCGGGGAAGTAATAACTTATTGTCATTCTATATAAGCACCTACGACAGAATGCCTAGCTCTCAAAGTATTTGTTTTTCTTCCCTTATTTTGGTGGTCTTGCTGGAATGCATTAACTGTTATGATAACTCGAGCCATGAGCCATCTGTACCCGTGTCAGTATGCTTGGAGTCTTACTGTACGTTGAACTTTTCTTCGAAGAAGACTCAACTGAGTTAATGGGCTTAAAGGACATTATTGTCTTTGATGGCAATAGTTGTTCTGTGCTAGTAAAGTCATTAACATTTGTAAATGTATAGCTACCAAAACACAGGACGTCGTACTGCTTCTTTAATGCGTTTTTTCGTCTTCAGTCGTTCATAAATCGAGTGGTTTGATAATGAAATCGATAGAAATTGATTGCAGTTGTTATACAATGATTATAGGTAGGTGTTATTATTACTACAGTGACAACTCTTGTCATTATCGGAGACATGCCAAACCATCAATCTTCTGCATGCATAAAAGCAATAGCTGTCGTTTTATGTCATATATACTTAAAAGTTAAAAGTAATTAATATGAGATTTTATTAGAATATATAACTTTACAACAGTTGACCCAAACTTAATCTCCTAATTTTTTATTTGAGTACTTCCAATTATTATGGTAAAAAAAACAGCTTTTTTTATTAATTTTAATCATAGGCAATAGTTTGAAAGGATGAAAATTATATATTGTAAGAAAATGTGATTTGAAAAAAAGAAATTAAAGTTTATGAGTTATGTTCCGCTTGACTCAAAATTTCAGGATAATTTTGAATAATTTAGGCTAGTTTTTTTTGTTTGTTTGAATGGATTTTCTTGTTGTGTATTTTCTTGGATTTTGATTGTCTTGAGGAATTAAGGGGTGAAACCTTGGACACATTTTGTATATTTTACTTCTTGTCAGTGATACCAAACAGTCAGCGTTCAAAGCTGTTCATAGTTGCGTTATCAAGCAGAAAAGAAAAAATCGATTATTATTTATTCCTTTAAGTTCTGTTTTTCCTGGACTACTGTTTCTTGACAGTTGTGTTCGTAAAATGCTCTCCTAGTCTTCTTAAACTGATCAGGCACAGTTAAGTCTTATCACTAAAGATCTATGTATCACACCCCAGCTCCGTATTGGTTTCTTTGGAGGTGACTGATCTAGTTGTTTTTCCACACATTTATCATGATTTAGCATGTCACCAGACCTGTATTTCAAAATATTGCATGTATTTTGGCTTGGGTACAAATGTTTATCTTGGTTCCCTTTGAAAATCTGTTCCCTGCGTGTTCAGATTTCTCTTAAGCAAGCAGTGTTTAGTTAATTCCTACAGCCGTGGTATACTGCTATGCAGTCATGCATATCTGGGCTTTTCTGCTCTGCTTGCTACTATACATAAAGTTTATTGATTTCTCATTTACTCTGGTAACTTAGCATGCATCTTCTGCTGCCATTTCTATTAAAGGAATATAATCTAGTATATTGGATCTTTGACAAGTGAACCTTGTATTTTTCTGCAAATTCCAACTGTCATGCAGCATGTTGCTTTTGCTCTAGTATGTTGGATCTCTTGCATACTCCTTGTGTACATTGAGTTGCGCATGCAGACCCTCTTTTTAGTAGAGCATGAATAAGAAAGGAATTCAAATTAAACCATGAATCTTATTGAAAACTAAACAAGAAAACATCAACTTGAGCAATATTACAATATTGTCAACCTATCCTTAATATGGCCTCCAAGTTGATCATAAGATAGGTCGCACATGAACCTAATTAAATAGCACACACCCACAAAAGATATACCAGTTAATTATGCTTTCCACAAACTGAACTGTGAACATGAATAAAAGATAATCTCTCATCAGACTCTGGGCTTGAGTCTGCCCTCATTGGCCAGCTTGAAAAGATGTCCCTGTGCTCCTGCAGCCTTGTTGGAGGCTAGTGAAGCAACGAAATTCTCCCTGACTTGCCTGGTTGTGAAAGAGAACCTATTGCTCACCATGGAGTTGAGCAAGGAAGCAGTACCTTCTCGGTAGAGTGTCCCATACCCATCAGTACGTGTGTTTGAAAGTGCTTGCTGCAAGGTCATACTCGTTCCAAATCCAGGCAAGCTAGTCACACCAAATGCGTTTCCCATTGTTCCCCACCAGCCCATAACACCCCATATTAGTGCCGGGTGAGTTCTCCAGTAACTGTAAATTAAACAAACATACATGTCAGTTGTTATTATAAGGGTACTGCATGACGAGTATATATTTAACCTATTTCATTCATTAGAATTTCATATTTAGTTTACATTTTGAGTGGTTATGGAAACTTACTTGCATGAGAAGGGTGAATTTGGGTCAGGAATGAACGGAGGCGTGGGGGTGAAAGGGGTGCCTGGAGTAATTCTTGGGGTGGTTGGCGGGCTTACAATGACTGGTGTTGGGGGACTGCCTCCTGTGGTTGGAGGGGTGGGGTGGTATCCACCTCCTCGCGGAGGGTTTGATGGTGTTGGTGGAGTAGCTACACTTGGTGGGGTTCCACAATTTCCACCTGAAGGGATTGATGGTGTTGGACCACCTGAAGGAGTTGATGGCGTTGAGTGAGATGGTGGGTTAACAGAGCTACCTCCTGAACCATGTGAAGGGGTCCTGTGTGAACCTGTCATTTAGAATTTGAACCATTAGCAGGATATATATATATATATATATATATATATATATATATATTGTGGAAGAAGTTGATTTACGGAGCTTTCTTTAGGTTAATGCTATTAATAATTTGAGCAATCTCAGATATGATATTTTTCTTCTGACTATCACTTGTATATTTAGTTAAAAAAATTATACTATAGTAGCTTGTATACGCGCGAACACATAATTTACAAGTTAGCTAGTAATAAGAAAAAAGTTCGTCGCTTCACTACATGGAGTTCTTTCATACTGAGCATGCAGAAGTTGGAATCAGCACTTGATTATATGTATAAATCATGCATGAAAAGATGGGTGCCAGTACTGTCGTTTAAAGTACGAGTGTCTGCGCGAGCGTGCGCGCGTGAGAGAGAGAGAGAGAGAGAGAGAGACCGGAAGGAGGACTTCTTGAATGTGGATCTGGGGAGTAGTAGTTCTTCTGATCTCCAAAGGTTGTGGCCAATACAGGGAACGCCAAATTGTGAGAAAGCAAGCCAGCGGCCAAAACCCACATCAACACTGAAGCCTGCTTGCTTTCCTGCCTCTCCATCTCAGTATTCTTGGAGAACACTAGAAGTAAAATAGGATATAACTGAAAGGTGCATTCTTCAGTGTAGAAAGCGGGGATTATATAGAGCTGACAGAGTGAAGTAAATATTAGCAGGTGAAGGAGTATGTGGTTAGTTGATTTGTTGCCGGAGCATTAATTTGTGCTCTTAATGACTTGCACTGAGGCGATAATCCAAATCCACCTCCCCGCCACATGTATCTCTTTTTTCCCATGATGTATTTATTTTAACTTGCATAAGCTCAGTCCTCTTGCTAATGGATTGTCCTCTAGTTTTAAGAACTCTAATGTGTGAATTGCCACCATTGACATGGTGGTTTTGCCAAGGTTACTACGAAATGAATTATTATATATGCTTGTTGGAAGAAAAAAATAAGTGTGGCGGGAGTTTATTAACAGCAAAATAATAAGTAAAACTAGAGAACAATAAGAGGATTTGGTAAAAAAAAAATTTAGAAAGTGTTTTCTCTTTTGTATCTCTCTCAACATATATTAATTATGTTTTTGATTAAAAATTTATTTATAAACCTCCAGTTATAAACAAATAAAAAATTAAATTATTAAAAAAATCTTAATTTAAAAAGGAAATGTATTATATCGTTTTCATCTATTGACTGATTCTTCTATTTTATAGAAAAATCAAAATTTAGTTTACTTTCAATATCCCCTTTTAAAATTAATTTCTTTATAACTTATAAGATATCTCTCATCTTGACAAAAACATCATGTTCAAGTAGTTTTATAAAAATACTTACAACTTCGTTTTATATCCTTATATATTTGACTTCAAATTCCTTATTTGTAATACAATTTTGTTGGAAATAAAATATTATGTCTATATGCTCATTTCAGTCATGAAATATATACTAGATTCTTAGTTAAAACAATGACCAATAAGTTGTTTGTACAAATTTTTGTAGACTTCTAATGTGACATTTACAACTTTTTCTTTATCTTCTCAGCCATATAGAATAACAAACACTTGTTGTAATAGCTATATATTCATCTTTTCAAGTTAATAATATAACTACAGGTTACTTCTTTTTAACCTATTATTTTCTTCTTCTTTTTTGGTCCAAGAATAAATTTTTATATGTTATTCTTTTCAATTGATGCAATTTCTTTATATATAGCAATTCTCTATTTTTCATCATGTATTTATTTACAAATGCTATAGATTCACTTGTAGCAAGATGTCAATATAGTGATATATCATCATTAATTGGATTAATTATTTTGTACAAGCCATCAAATCACCTCATTTTTCTTGATGAACTAAGTGAGTTGCCACTAGTGGAACTTCTACTAGAAGAAGAAGAAGAAAATAAATGTGAAGTTGAGTTCTTGGTGATTATAGAGGTGTAACAAGTTATTGATGATTTTCATATTTCAACATCAAGAACTAATAAAAATGTATACTGCTCAACATCATTTATCTTCTAATTTCATGCTTTTTCTTCATCAAATTTGACATTCTTATTAATCACCATTTTTTTTTATTAGAATTGTAAAACTTGTATCATTTTGACTTTTGATTAGAGCTCACAAAAATCATTTTTTACTTTTGTCATCTAGTTGGGTCCTTATTTAATCATATGCATGCATGTAGTTAATACTTTTAATTACTTTTAAATAAGTAAAACTTGGCTTTTTATAAAGTCATGCAATTTAAGCTTTCTATAGAACACCTATTTGACAAGTAAATAATACAATTTATAACTTCAATTCTAAACTCATTTCACATTTTCTTGGTTTTAAATATATTTCTCATTATACTGAGGATACTTTTATTTTTTTCTTTATCATGCCATTTTATTGCAGTAAACTAGACATTATTAGAAGTCTATTTAGAGCATGATCTTTACAAAACTTATTAGAAAAAAAATTCACCACCAACATGACGAGATTATAGATCAAGCTCGTACAGTGACACTGTAGGATCAAGTTGCCTTCATTTGACAAAGTTGAGATCAAACTACAGAAGGAGGCTCAAAAGCTTTCACATAGACATGATTTTCCTATAAGACCATCTGGTGCCGCAACATCCCCGAGTGATCAATGTGACATTCAATTCCAACCTCAATAAAACTGATCAAAACCCATGTCTCAACTTGCTCCATGCCATGGGACTGAACCCTCACTGTGTTTCATTATCTCTAGGCTTTAAGCTGTTTGAATTCAGCACTACTTTTTTTTTTCAGATACTCCGTTCAGCTGGTCCCGACTTAAACCACTAGAAATGATTCATTTCCCGAGCGGCACATTAAGTTTTTTCCCTCTAATTTATTAAATCTGGAAGAGAAGAACACAGGGGTAGGTGCCTTCCTATTCATTCTCTTATCGGACAAGCTAAGAAATATTGAGCCCAAGAACTATGATATCCTGCCCCAATTTTGTGTGGTCCGATAGACCACAAATATTGGAGCCCTGCTAGTCCACAACCTCCACTATTTGATTATATCTCATATCCCCATTTCAAATAAATTAATGGTGTCTTACACCAGACCATTGATAACAAGATCAAGCTCTTGTTGGAGTCTTTAGATGTTGTACTAGTGAGTAAGATGGTAGTTTTTGTAATGAAAAGAAAATACATAATGGTTTCCCTTGACTGCACAGGCTGTTGCCCTATATTTGTACACGTTCAGCTTCAATTGTAAAGCAGACAAACGCATCACGCAGGAACAGGATCGGATGACCATGAAAAATCATGACACTTGGCATGCAGAGGGAGAAGGGACCCATGATTTTGAAACTAGATGTTGTAACCTTAATGGTTGTGGCAGAGAAGTAGTTGACGGAGAACACAAATGTCAGGTGATGAGTAAATAAAGACAGCTTCACGGGTCATCCAGGGCAACGGAGCCGTAAAATGACACCAGTGTTGCTGCCTGTGACCACCTCTTCTTCTTAACATATGCTGGGATTGAGAGTTCTGTGTATTCTTTTACTATATATTTTAATTTTTAAATTTGTAAATTGAAAAGCTATATTACTATTTTCTGTATATTTATTTTCTGCTTTAAGTTAAATGGATGTGACCTATTGAAGTAAAATTTATTAGGGGTGTGGAAGACGGCTTGGGCCATTTCTGTAGGACATTCTGAATTTCTGATCTATCTGGGGGAGGAATGTCAAGTCCCCATGAACGCCAGCAAATGCGAAAAGGCCAGCTGCCTCATGATCTTTCGCTGATAGCCCTTTACCCCTTTCTTGTGTCTTGAACATCAATCACACCGAGGCCCTGACACATTATTTCTTCCAAATTAAGTCAATTTTTGGGGTCCCTTTGTAAAGTGGCCCACATGCTACATGGTAGCTTTTATTTTTATTTTTTTATATATTTTAAAAGTATATTTTACTTTAAAAATATTAAATTAAATTTTTTTGTATTTATTAATAATTTTGATATATTAGTATAAAAAATTAAAAAAATATATTTTTAAATAAAAAAACTTTTAAAAAATATTTTACACCACCATGCCAAACCCTCACTAATTCAACTCTTTGTTTTCTAATAGGTTTGGTCTTAAATCTTAAAAAAAAATAAAAGTGTTTGGGATTTCTTGGGTGTTTATTATTTTTGTGGTTCAAGACTATTTTTAAAGTATTTTTTAATTTTTTTATTTAATAAATATTAAAATAATATTACTATTTTTAAAGTATTTTTTAAATTTTTTTATCTAATAAATATTAAAATAATATTTTTTAAAATATTTCTTTTATAGATTTAATATGTTAATGTTAAAAAAATTAAAAATATTTTAATGTATTTTTAACTAAAAATAGATATCAAACATTTAATTCACTATATTAAAAAAAATCATGATGTCACGAGTTGTCAAATTTAGGCTCTTAAAGATAATTGTTAAATTGGGCTCCGGTCATATATAATTGGATTGAATTAACTCTCTTGCATTTTTTTTTCTTCTTCCTTTTTTTTTTTATCTAATTAGGTTTTGATAGTCATTAGGGCTAACTAGATGTAGATTTTAGTTAGATAAATAATTTATACAAAGCCAACCTAGCTTAGGTAGGTTACGAGTCATTGAGTTTGAGATTAAGCAATCAAAAGTTGAACAAGAATTAACAATTATGCTCTTGAAAGCAACAAAAGATTTTAGAAAGACTTTAACAATATGATTTTAACAATATCTTGAAAGACAAGTAACTATTATCATAATTTGTTAAGAGTTTTTTAAAAATTAATTTAAGATTAATTACGATTCTCTTTTAATGTTTTTTTAATGTGTAGTTAAAATAATTTTATCAAAATATTTTTAATGGTATTAGATATAATGAGAACAGAGTCTCAATATGTCCTTAATTGGTGACCTTATATTCTCTTTGTTTTTTGGTTATTGGATCTTCAATCCCATATTTTAGCCATTGAATTTTTATAAAATATTTAGTTGATTTTTGTGAAGTTAATTACTTCGCAAAGGAAATATAATTTGAAAAAAATCATTAAATAGCTATTTTAAGTAGATTGTTATTTAAAAAAATATAGTAGAAAATGCAATCACTATTTTATAAAGATCTAATAAGTAAAAAATGGGATTTAAATCCTAACAACAACAAAAAAAAAGGTTCATTAAGAACATACCAGAGCTTCATTTCCAACATATTAAGTATTTTTAGAAAGACTTTAACAAGATAATTTTAATAATATTTTGAAAGACCAACAATTAAGAGTTTTTTTAAGGTCAATTAAGATCTCAATTGATGTTCTTTCAATGTATAGTTAAAATTATTTTATTAATATTTTTCTAACAATACTAAATGTAACGAAAACAAAGTTTCAATTTGTAACCTTATCTTCTCTTTATTTTTTGGTTATTGAATCTTCAATCTCATCTTTTAGCCATTGATTTTTTATAAAATATTTAGTTGATTTTTGTGAGGTTAATTACTTTGCAAAAAAAATTTTTTTTTGAAAAAATCACTAAATAATTGCTATTTAAAATAGACTGTTGTTTAAAAAAATATAGTAAAAGATGCAACTACTATTTTAAATAGCGGTTGTATTCAAACTATATTATTTTTCAAATATTACTTTTAATTTTTTTTTTATTTTTAAAAAACTTTTAGCAAACCATGCTATTGTTTTTTTTTTTTTTTTGAAAAGAAAATCAGCAAAAACACAAATGAAGGAATACTATTTTTTTTTTGTCTGTTTCATAATGCAAATAATTGAGCACTAAGAAAACAGACATGGAAAATTTTATTCCGGCAAATTCTATGTCTATCTATACAAGGGAGTTCGCATAAGAGGGATCAGCTGAGTTTGCCTGCGCTGATGGAAACCAAACCATAATCATTTTGGAGTAAAATATACTTCTTTTTGAACGCAAGAAATTAATGAAAATAAGATTTTGAATAACAATATATTGAATAATGGGAATGGAAATGTAAATGTGAACTGAAACTTCATTCTTTGTTTGGTTGAAAAGAATGAACATGAGTTATAAGTCCAAATTTTCTATGTTAACATTTTTTTTAAAAAAATGATATATTATTATTTATCATACAACAATTACTTCTATTAACATTGACTTTAACTCTATTTGTCATTACAGTCTGTATTGTGAAAAAAAAAGATTTAAATTGTTATTTTTTTGTGTGTTTTTGAATTATTTTAATATGGTGTTGTCAAAATTAAATTTTAAAAAATAAAAAAATATTATTATAATGTATTTTTAACCAAAAAATATTTTAAAAAATAACTCTTATTGTATTTTCATACCCAACATTAACGTATTTTACTTAAATATTTTTATATGAAAATCCTATTATTGTTATTATTGTATTATTGATATTATCATTATTTTTTTATTAATATCATCACAATCACTATTATTTATTATAGACTTTATTACCATTAACGTCGTTGATAAAGTTATTTTTTAATTTCAGATAATAAAAAATTACCGTTCATTTTGATTTCTAGCTATCATTCCAAATACAATATTAAAAATGAAACATCATTTTGATTTTTTGTTCCAAATTTTTTTCATTTTTATTCTAGACTATTGATTCATGGTATTAAATCGGGCACCTAACCATGAATTAGCTAGATTTAAGAAATTAATTCCTGGAAAAAAATATGTTAGTTGTCGAAAATTACTTCGTAAGCATGAAGAATCAAATGGATTCATGAGTCAACATCGTAGGCGCCGAGCAAGAACCTCATGTCTTTTATATAGAAAACACAACACAAAAGATAGATCCATAAGTTCTGCTCCGTCCCTTAGTAATTAATGGCAAAGAGCAAGATTCAGCCAGTGCAGCATATCATATGTTTCACACCATTAGAATGGCTCAGTTCCAAGGTTGAAACTCCCTTCCCTCCTAACCAGCTAGCATCATCATGGGAGAGAGGATCAGATTCCACCCCCTCTTTTCCAGACTTCCTAACAAAGAAATTAATCTCGATTATATTATTTATTGGACTTGCCAGATCTTTAGGGATACTCGGATGATTAAATACTCATTGACGGCAAGGCAACAGGAGATTCTGAAGTCTATGGGAAAAAAATATCAGAGACATTATGGTTGGACGTTGTCATTCTTCAAGAGCAAAAAACAGATTATTCGCACATGCAAGAACATGATCACTGTTTCGGTGCCCTCGTTAATAAGTTATGCAATTCTTCTCTCAAAAAGTCAAAAACAATGGTGGGAAAAGGAGAGTAAAAAATATGGAAGGTCGGTTATGTCTGTGATCGGTTGACTTTCTTAGATGCTTAACTAACTTTGACTTACTAATGTCTCTCATTCATGCACATGCATATCAACACTCGTTCACCTGGTGATGAAACAAAAGCTATAAATTTTGAATTCTGAGACTAAGACTCCTCACACCTTCTAAGAAATGACCATACAAATATGCTCTTTGCTTTCCTGGGCTTTGCTCTGCTCAACAGCAATGCTCCTCGCCATTTTTTTGAAACACAGAAAAGGCTGCGGCAAGAGTGATGGAAAACTACCACCAGGGGAAATGGGACTTCCTTGGATCGGTGAAACAATAGAGTTCTACAGATCACAACGTGACAACCAATTGTTCGAAGAGTTTGTTCAAAAACGGATAACAAAATATGGAAAGATATTCAAAACGAGGCTAATGGGTTCGCCAACAATCATCGTTAATGGTGCTGAAGCTAACCGGTTTTTCTTGTCCAATGAATTCAAGTTGGTGATAAGCTCATGGCCTACTGCATCAGTTCAGCTCATGGGCGTAAATTCCATCATGGAAAAGCAAGGGGAGAAGCACCGATGCCTTCGTGGAATAATCGCCACCAGCCTTGGCCCTGCAGGCCTTGAGATTTTAGTGCCAAAAATTTGCGACTCAGTTCAGTTGTACCTAGATAAAAATTGGAATGTAAGAGATGAGATCAGTCTTTACCGTTCGACCAAAGCCTTGACGTTTACCATAGTTTTGGAGTGCTTGCTAGGGCTCAATTTTGAGCCTGGAACCCTGAATACTTTTGAGAGAGTTTTGGAAGGAGTATTTGCACCACCTGTTTCATTTCCTGGTTCCAAGTTTTCAAGAGCCAAGAAAGCAAGGCGGGAGATAAAAGAAATGTTGATTAAAGTGGTAAGGGAGAAAAGGAAGAAGATGGAAAGTGGTTTAGGGGGGGATGAAGGAATGTTATTTTCCCAATTGGTTAGCGGGATGATTCGAGGGGAGATCAGTGAAGAGGAGGTTATTGATAATGTGGTTCTGCTTGTGTTTGCAGCTCATGACACAACATCTTTTGCCATTGCCATGACCTTCAAAATGTTAGCTGAGCATCCAGACTGCCATTCTCTCCTCCTTCAAGGTACTCTTTGCTTCACTATTTTAAGTTTACAAGGGAAAGATTTCTAAAATCAGAGGGGTATACCATGACAATTCATAAGAAAATATAAGTGCGCGCAGTTTCAAACTCGAATATGAATTTAGTGAACCAGCATAAGAAGCACTTTCTTCCCATTATTCTACTAAATCAGTATATATTATCACTCTTGGCAGAACATGATGACATAATGAACAAGAGGAGATCTGGAGAAAATCTAACAATGGAAGACACGAAGAAAATGAAATATACATGGCAAGTTGCACGTGAAAGCATGCGGCTTTTTCCTCCTATCTTTGGCTCCTTCAGAAAAGCTATTGCTGACATTGAATATGAAGGATTCACGATTCCTAAAGGGTGGAAGGTACATATCGATTCCGAGACCTTTCCTTGATATCGCCACATAAAACAAGCTCAGAGACAATAGAACTCATGGCCTCAATCTTCCATGCTTATATCACTGTTTAAAGACAGTTCCACGGGTCGGCTTGATTACAAGCATTCTAGATATTGGAGAAAACACGCAGCAACAGAAAAATGCATGTTACAAAAAATTAGCCTTGAAATTTCTGAACAATGATTCATCACAGATCTGACTTCATCTTGTCTTCTGCAGGTTCTGTGGACAACGTATGGCACCCACTACAATGAAGAATATTTCAAGGATCCTCTGACTTTTAATCCAAGAAGATTTGAGGAGCCAATTCCACCATATGCTTACCTCCCCTTCGGTGGAGGACCAAGACTCTGTGCAGGAAACCAACTGGCAAAGTTGAATATCCTCATCTTCATCCACTATGTTGTAACACGTTACAATTGGTCCTTACTCTGCCCTGATGAACAAATCACCATGGACCCTCTCCCAGTCCCTTCCCATGGAATGCCCATCAAAGTTTCTCTCAAGTCATCTTAGAGTAGAACAAACATCGGCATTTTTATACTTTGTACTCAAATGTTTAATTTATCAAGAATCATGTCCTACAAACTTGGTTTCACTTTCTACATCTACTGATTCTTCCAAAATTCATGTTCCACAGCATTATAACGGCTAATCTTTGGATCTCACTTCTACAATTATATACAAGATCTCTGTGGATGCCTGAGAATGTACTCAAGCATTCTTAGCAGGCCTGGACCGAACCTTCTCTCCCAGCTTGTGATATAACTTTGCACAGTAATGACTTCATGCATAAGCAAGCATTTCAAGCTCGACATATTCTAAAGGCTACCACCACAGCATACTTCAAGATGGAAGGAGTCTAAGCAATTTCAATTTGTACCCCAACTCCGGAAATGCCGAACCCACCCTACCTAGATTTGCTACTAATAATATAATATTGGTTCCTGTATTAATACCTCAGTGTCGCCATTAGTGCGTAAAATCACGAGACCCATCTCGACTGAATTAGCTTTTCATTTGAGTGGTCATGTAATTTATAATTAGAACTAGGATTTAATTCTAAAAAGTCAAAAGAAATATGATAAAAATATAATATAATGAAAAATTATTTTAAGATATTGGTATTATTGGAATAAAATTAAATAATACCACAAACTAATTAATATTTAATAAGTTATATTCAGTTTGTTTAAGAAGCAAAAAATACAAAAATAAAATTTATAAGTATTATTCATAAAAAATACTAAAATTTAAATTTTGCATTTGTTTAAATAATTTTAAAAAATTAACTATAATGAATATGTTATTGTGAGCAGAATTGATTTACTTACAAAAACTAACTCAAAACCTTTATTAATAAACCTAAACTTTAATCCAAAGCATTGAATCCTAATTAAAAATAAAATATTAATTAAATTCAAATAATTCTTTAATTATAGCTAACAAAATAAAAATAAAGCTTATACATCTAAATCTTATTTTGTCGTGAGAAAAAAAGAAAATAATATAAATATAATACAATACTTATTTATAGCCAACAATACAACCCAACAATCCTAAGAATTAAAAGATAAGTTGCTGCTCCTTTGATTTCCAAGTTAAATTTTTTTTTGATCCTAGCCTTGTATTTATTTTTGTTTTGGTAGGAAAAGGATGATCCCTTCAACGCTTTTCTTTGGATGCTCCCTTCAATGCTTTTCTTTGCTGCCTCACGTGTTTTTTTCTAAGTCAATCTGGATTCGCTTGTCTCATTTGATGTATTTTCTTCTTACCTGATAAGAAAAATAAAATAATAAATCATAATATTTTAAAAAATAATTAATATTCTCACACATGATAGAAAATCCAAAACTAATTAACAATCTATAAAATGCATGGAAATATCATAAAATAAAACTGGTAAAAAATAATACAAAATTAACAATTTTGTTATCAAAATTTTATAGCCCAAATAAAGATAGATTGAGTCTTTCTTGCACATAAATTGAATATAATAAAATCTTCTTTTAATGCTTCAAAGAATTTTCAAGTTCAGCTTTGACTGAAACTTGTATAATCAGTCTATTCAATGTTTTTTTTTTTTTAATGTCTTCACTCTGGCCCTGTGATAAGCACATTTAGAGTATGTAATGGGTGCCCTGTGATAAGCACATTTTGAGTATGTAATGGGTTCTTGGTGTTGGAACTTGTGATAAACCGATTTGAAACATATAATTGCGTCCTTGTGTTTATGTGGTGATGCACATAAGCTCCTATAAAATAACAAATAAATAACCAAAACAAGGAGAAAGAACAGCGTCATTGTAAGGTTCAGTTCTCAAAGATGTTTATTCCTTTCACCACTCCAGATATCATGGAATGCTCAGAAAAAATCCATTCCTCACATCAGCCCAAATCTCATTACTTGTAAAAGATACATCCCGGCTTGACTGAATATAGATTAGTATTTTAGTACCTCATAGCTAATGTAATCTGAAAGGCTAGATCCTAGAACATGTATTTCCAAAACATAACAATAACTGCAAGAATATTTTATGATGTCATCATTTCTCATGTATGACAGCATCACCTTATCTTATTGTTAAAGTATAAAGCTATGAGAAACACAAATTTGCAAGCTTTCCAAACACTGTCCTATAGGCTTCGCCCTGATTGTAGAAAAAGAGAGGGGGGAAAAACAGTCTCATAGAACCATGTTTCTCTAGCTTCATGTTGATCACGATCTATCACAAACTACACAAATCATCTCTTCATTCTGTAGGAACTCTGCCTCCATCCATTCCCCCCCCCAATCACCACACACACGCATGTATGGATGCAATTACATGTTATCAGATTCACCATGGCAAATAAGAAGAATACAAGGAAATTGGTTTAAACATGTCCTCTAACTCGAATAAGGAATGTAAACAGGTTCATTGCAAGGAAGAATTGATGATATCTGGCATATGTAGCAACCAAAAGACATTAATCATCTCCAGATAAGTGGCTCTCCTATAATAGAAAAAACCATGCCCTGTAAATTGCTTGATTGTGATATATGATCAATCTAAGATGAAATTTGCCAATCTAATGAGGCCTTTATAAGTAAGAAAAAATAATTGGCTTTTCATTCCCAGTCTTTCTTCTGGAAAATTCTCATTCAGATTGTGATTGACATAAAAACTCACAGTGGACAGTAATTAATCAATTAAATAAACAAAATTTGATTCCCACATGTAAGAAATGACCTAGCCAAGAAAATTGTTGGTAGTTACAAGTATGATGTTGCACCTGACCAAAGTTTTCCTACTGAAGTGGTGGATCTTTGACGCATTGCATGGCATCTGGCAATAGATTATGACTGATTGGCTTCAATCCTCGTTTAAACCAATAGCCCATAAGAGAGGTTTCTAGTTTCCGCACCTGTGAACATTTTATTTTATCCAATCAATCAAGTATTCAGTGGAAGCAAGTACAAGCTGCACATTTATCCTCCTATTCTCTGAGATTCCAACAATGCAGAACAAAAGGTATTAGTAATGAGAACTTGCAGATCCCATTGACAACTGCCATTTTAGTTCCAACAAGATTGTCTAAGAAATAAGAAAGATCGTTACAAGTGAACAGGGCCATGGGCTAAAGGACAGTAGAAGCAATCCTCAGCTAAAAAAGGGAAGCAAAAACAGAAAATACAGAGGATAACTCAAGCAGATTTGTCTAATCTTTCAAGTCGTTCTACGAGTATGTGTAAATGTACAGTTACTTAGTATGGTAAAGCAACTTAACTATCTTTAGAAGCTACAGCTATCATGTCAACATCCATATTCACTTTATATTCCATAGCATCTTATGGAAAAATCTCAACACATATTATTATATCAGTGTGTTATGCTGCTATAATTGTTTCTACATTCTTTCTCTCCTAAATGACACAAACTTCTTAGCAAAGATGAGAAAGCAAAAAACACAGGCAGTATCACGCGAGCAAGATCAGGGAGTTAGACCCACTTGTAGATTAGCTGAAACCTAGGTACAATTTTTGAGGGAATACAACAGAAATAATGATGAAAATTTCTGAGAGAGAAAAAACTCCTTCAAGATGATAAATATTGATAACGTCAACTGCATACCAGATAAAAATCTTGGAAACAAAAGGTTATTATTGGGAGGTTAGGATATGCTCCAATATATACCAAAAAAAAGGTGTTGGTGACGTCTTATTTGGAACACTTCAGCCCTTACTTTCACATCGAAACCTCTAGCTGGGCCCTTTCAGCCATGAAGAAGAAAATAGCGTACATCTATTCAAAATACATCTACACACTCTTTTCTTATTTTACAAGGATGCCATAAACTCAAATTTAGCATCTCAAAGAGAGGATGACTAACCTGCCTAACAATGAATGGTTCCTCTGCAAGACTCAGTGGCTTCGTTAATACTGTCAAAAAGCCATTTCGATTTCCATAAACAATATCTGTGAAAGGCCGATCACCCACCTGAGAGAAACACAAGCACGCTATTCACATACAATAAACAGAAAGAAACCAGGCCAACAACTCAAAGAAGCTCAGTTAGTTTGCACATACCATTATAAGTCTTGAGGATTTACAGCCAAAGTGCTTTTCAATTTCTTCAGATGTTCCAGCAGGTTTCTTTACCCCTATAGTGTGATACATAAATTATTAAAATTTGCAAATGGTACTGCGGACAGCATATTAATTAAGAAAGAAGTACAGCATATTAAATAAGCAAATTATGCACAAAAAAATGTCAGCTTCCACATTGGATAAAAGAAAAATCCTATAAAATTAAAGCTCAAACTGGTAGAGACGAATCTTACTGTGCCTTATTACTTTAATTCCAATTGCCTTCTCAAGTGCCCTGGCTTTTGAGCCATCATGATCATACTCAAAGAGACCTAACTCATTACACCAACAGCACACAAACAGGTTAGTAACTTAATACCAGAATTAAAATAACAAAAAAAAAGGATCAAATTGCGAAGGAGTCTTGCCAAAATTACCAGCAGAGTTACTGAACACAGCAATATCATTCCCAAAAACAGATTTACACCTCTCAATGGACGGACCAAGAGGGCCCCAAAGGGTCAAAGAGTAGGGCACAGTAATAGTGTTATCCTTATCAAACACCACACCTTTAAAGCCTCTCGCTTGCAACCCTCCCCAATCAATGTACCTTATGTCAGGCACTACAACATGAGGCAGAGCCAAATGCCGGTCCTTGACAAACACGGAAGCCGAAGAAACAATGCCTTCAACGTTAATTCTTTGGCCTAATGCAGCTCTCAAATCCGTCCACCACGTGTTTGATAAAAGCCTTCTCTGATTACCAGTTTCGGTGTCTCCTGTTTCTTCAATTTCTTGGTTTTCGGTTTCTGGGTTTTGGTTAGCGTTGGTGTTATTGTCTAAAGAACATTGAAATCGGTCAAAAACTGACAGGTTCTGATCTGGGTCAGGGTAGCCTTTATTATTGTTAGTTTGGGAATTTTTTTGCTCCTTGCCGTTTCTTTTACAGTTGCTTGTAGTGTGAAGAGTGAGGGAGCATATGTTTTTGGAGTGTGTTTGGTGCTGTGAAGAGTACAAGCAGGTCGATTTTACGATTCTGAGATGTGAACGATGGAGATGGGAGTGGAGAGAAGATGGCATGGGACAACTGGGTAAGGGAGCCACATAGGTGGTGGTGGTGCACTGCATTTCCAATCTGCTACTCTTTGGTTTTTGTGTTTTTAATATTCATCTTTTCGTAAACAACTCCATTTTAATTTCACAGACAGGCCGGCCAGGTTGTGGACCTGTTGGTTGTGGCTGTGGGTTGGTTCGAGAGAAAAGAGCAGACTATGCTCCACTGTGGTTCTAGCTAGGTCTGGTTTTCCTGGACTCGTTCTGGACTGCATGCTATTATGATTGGGCTTTGAGCCTCAGTTGATTATATCTATTTACCTTAATTGAAAACAATCACGGGCCTGGGGTTTAGGGTTTGCGGCTTTTCACTTGCTCGCACGTGGGTAATTAAGATTTCTTTGTCCTGAGAAATTATTAAATATATTTTCACTTTTAACAGATATTTTATAGACAAAATAGGGTATAAAATAGCTGCTTCGTTTCTTATTACTTATGTTTACAGGGATAATAACATATTTAGTGTTTTAAAAAAATTGTTGTTTTCATGTTATAACTATCGTATCATTAGTTAATAATCATGTCATGATTCGTTTAGAAATATAATAATATTTTTTTTGAATATTTTTTAAAAATATTTTTATTTTAAAAAAATATTAAGTATATATATATATTATTTTTTATTTTTTAATAATTTCAATGTGTTTATATTAAAATAAATAAAAATTACTTTAATATATTTTCAAACAAAAAACACTTTACACCACAATATCTAACACACACTTAATAATTATATCAAATCCACTTTAACCCTCATCTAAAATATCATTTATTGTTATAATTTTAAGAGTTAAATAAATTAGAATAAATAAATTCATTGAATTGTAAAAATTACATATGTTATTATTTATGTGTTTTTATTGAAAAATCCAAGTTAGATTTTTCATGTTTCGAGTGACGAATTGGTCATGTTTATGGAAACAAGGTAATTGATTTGAAAATCGGTAACTGTTTTTTTTTTTTTTCAATGAAGTAAAATAATTATAACCATCTATTAACTGTAGAAATGAAATCTCATTATTTATTTCTCTTTGAATTATAGATTTTTTAAAAGATTTTATTTGCTTTTTTATTTTAAAAGATTTTAAAAAAATTAAATATTTTTTATTTTGTTAATTTATTTAAAATTATTTTTTATATTTTCATATCATTTAATCAAAAATAATTTTTAAAAAATAAAAAAAAATATTATTTTAATATATTTTAAAATAAAAAATATTTTAAAAAATAAATACTACTATTTTCTCCAACGCTCCTAAAACTATTGGCTACAAACTTTAAACGAGCAACGTTTTATATTGCAATTTGCAAGAATTAAATTTAGTATCAAAGCCAAGACTTGACACCTTCAAGATAAGCATGCTAGAAAATAATTGGAAAAAAAAAAGAAAAAAAAAGGACAGCACACAAGGGGGAAAGTGATCCTTGGAGTTGGAATTTCGAGATCGTTCTGGATCAACTCACGGCCAGTTGACCGAGGCTAGGCACGTCCAAAACAGGGAACGCCACTTGAAAATTTCTCACCCAACGCGTATTGTCTTTTCTGTCTCCAGTTTGACAATATGCTTTATGCTTTGCCAGCTCTGTGTCATCATTGCAGCACCGGACATTCATTTTGTATGGACAACTCGGTTTCGGCTCAATTAGTCCAATAACTCTCATCTCTCCTGTGCAAGTGCCCCCTGACCAAACCCCTTCACTTTCACATAGAAGATAGAACCACTTTTTTCTACTTTCCCTGGCTCCTTCCTAGATTGACATTGCAAGGCTGTGTCCAGTCCTAAAATACTATGTACATATGCCAGCTATAACTATTCTTTAATCAACTAGCTACCCATGAAAGCAACTATATGAGGGACCCAAGCTCAAAGTTCCAACATCACACAACACATTTAGCTCTCTCTTGATAAATCTCTTGCTTGCTGCTGGTACATATAATATACATCTCCTGATTGTTTGCTTGGAAAAAGATAAGATGTCGTTCGTTCGTTCGAGAAAGCTTTCTTCAATGCTTTTGTTTGCTCTGTTATTTGCTTGTCTGATGGGAGCCTCCAAGGGTGGCAATTTCTTCCAAGATTTTGACATCACCTGGGGCGATCAACGTGCTAAGATACTAAACGGTGGCCAACTTCTCACACTCTCTCTCGACAAGGCTTCTGGTTCTGGCTTCCAATCCAAGAATGAGTACTTATTTGGCCGAATCGACATGCAAATCAAGCTAGTAGCAGGCAACTCGGCTGGTACTGTCACTGCATACTATGTAAGCCACGATCCTTATGCTCGATTGAATTTCTTCTCTAGCTCATAAATTTGGGGTTTCTCATATTTTTCTTACTTGTGCAGCTATCTTCTCAAGGGTCGACCCACGATGAGATTGACTTTGAGTTTTTGGGCAATGCAACTGGAGAGCCATATATTCTCCATACCAATGTGTTCTCCCAGGGGAAAGGCGACAGAGAACAACAATTCTATCTCTGGTTTGATCCCACTAAGGCTTTCCACACCTACTCCATTGTGTGGAACAAACAACGCATTATGTAAGTAAAAAATGCTCAAATTTCAATACTTCTGTATCGTCACAAGCCGAATTTCAAATGCTAAATTTGAAAGATGTTGCGCTTTCATTGCAGTTTCTTAGTGGACAACATCCCAATAAGAGTGTTCCATAACTTGGAATCAGTCGGCGTGCCATTCCCGAACAAGCAAGCCATGAGGATACATTCAAGTCTCTGGAATGCTGATGACTGGGCAACAAGAGGGGGGCTTGTAAAGACTGACTGGACACAAGCTCCTTTCACCGCTTCTTACAGAAATTTCAAAGCCAATGCTTGTATTTGGTCACCTGCATCACCTTGTACCTCCACCTCCCCAAATTCTGTGCAAGACAATGCTTGGCAAGTTCAAGCACTTGATGCCCCGGGGCGCAACAGACTTCGATGGGTGCAACAAAAGTACATGATTTACAACTACTGCACTGACTTGAAGCGGTTCCCCCAGGGTCTCCCACCTGAATGCAAGCGATCGAGATTTCTTTGAAGAAACTACACGTTGATGAGATTGTCAGCTATTATGAAAGTTCTTTATTCTTTATGCAAATTAAAATATGTGAATGTAATATGAAATAAATCAGTTTTAATTCTTTATTCTTTTTACAAATAAAATGTAACACCAAATGAATCGATTTCAATTTTTTAATTATCCTCTACTTCCGTTACGGTTATTGCAACTCGTCCTCCATCTTTTACAATGTGCATGAAGAAATTTTCTCAAGCAACCAGCTTGAAGTTTATGGTGTAATCCGCTATGCGGTAACTTTACATTTACGATATGATTGATAGTAATGAATGGTTTTTGTCAATTTATACATGGCCTGTATTAATGGCGGCATTTCAACTTGTAATTGCATCGTGTATATCCCAGGTGATGTTTTTGGTAAAAGTAGAACCTGTTGCTAAGAGCTGAAAATCAACTTAATAAGTGGGTGTCAAACAATCAATTAATTATACCAAATGATTATTGTGGTATATCCGTTGTAATCACTCAAGTAAAGATGAGTTATTTCCAGTTCTGAAAGAAATCCATTCTCTCCATCAGCATAAATTATCCTTATTACTCGAAAAACTACTAGGCTTTCAGTTCCTCTCTGGCTCAAAGATCGACTGATTTAAACCTTAAAATAGTATATTGTGCTTTGCACTCGATTTCCCTTAATTGTATATTAGTTTGTGCTTTGGGGTTTGAGGATAATTAATCCCGTGCTTGTGCATTCATCTTTGTGCTCTTGTAATAGTGAATTGCGCTCACTATTCGTTTATCCTTTAATGTTTTTTTAGATAAATGTTCTTCTCATCAATGAATCTAGACTTGTAAAAATTAACCACCAAATCTTGATTACCAAACAAATTAAATTCATTAATTAATTATTTCGTGACAAGGACACTACACTTGCTGAACCCCCGAACCCCACCTAGTTTGTTCGTATTGGTCAGCAGTTGCTTGTTACATTATTCCAAAAGTTTGAACCAAAAAAAGAATATTGAAATTTTCAGAGCTCCACCTTTTGAATAGAACTCACTTTACGTGTTCATTTTATTTGTTATTTTCAAATTTCACATGCCACTATAGCCAGGCATAACGTTCAGTTATTTTTGTCGAATTGAATGAGTATTTAACTTTGCTTCCATGCATGTTAATTATTGCTTAATCCTCGTGATTTAGAAATAAAATAATTATTTTTTTATTTCGAAAACTATTGTTAATTAATTTTTTCAGTCCTAATTATTTTATTAATAAATTAAATCTTTAATAAATTTCAGTTTGTGTATATCTTACTTTGTTTTTTTCTTTTCTATTTTAAAAAGTAGAAAAAAATAAAGAGAGCAGTGGTTGCGATAGAAATTTTTTAAGAAAGAGTTTATATATATATATAATTAAGGATTGTCAAGAAACAGAAAAGGAAGTATTTAATTAACTTTGATGCCACAAGAACTAATTAATTCGTTTCAATAAGATACGAGGACTCGGGCATGTTTTTATGTGTATGTATATATTAAAAATAAAAGGAACGAACAAAGACAATTTTTATTTTCTCACAAAAGATGACAAAGAAAAATACGATATTATTATATTAGTACTTCGCTTTGCAGTGTTTCCTTGCCACTTAATTTTAATTGTTTCCATCATAACTATATGATAAAAAAAAATTGATTGAGCAGGCAACCTCGTGGTGTTAAGATAAGACTCAATGACATGGAATTAAAGATAAGCATGTTTGATGATGTTACAAAATCAAATATAATAAGGTTTTTTGTGATTAAATTATAAGTTAATCAAATGTTACTATAAATAACTATTTTCTTTAAAGTAAAGAGGACTTTCTTGTGATAAATGCTTCTGGATATCGATAAAAAAAAAAATGAAGGATTTGACGCTCTCGGATAGTAAATTCAGTAATCTTATTGAGAAAATGACTAATAAATATACTAGAAAATATTAAATTTTAAGAGCAAGGTTATTGTTATGTTGAACATTGATGTGTTTTTTAACGTAAAATATTGAACATTTTACCTGGATAGTAAATGAAGAATATTAAATTTTTTTACATTGATAACATTAATAAGAAAGAAAAATATTTTATACATGCATTAATAAATAAAAAATATTATTTTCAAATGTATTAATAATGAGCAAAAAAATAATCGAGCGATACTTGTTAGGCTCATGAATATTAAGGTCATATTCTTAGGTTAAAAATCGAGACAAGCCCATAAAGTCCTGGCACATCCTCGAGCCCAGCATCTAGGCTCGAGTGCTTCCCTCGAGCTCAAAGGGCGCGTGATATCGGCCTATAATTGAGCAGAATGGCTATTCTTGAAATCCAATGGTAAGCTTTCCATTAAATATCTATAAATCTTGTTACATCCATGCTATATCAGGAATCTTCTAGGCAATTTTAAAATATATGTTTCTAAATATTGGGCGAAGACCACCGAGAACCAAGTGAAACCAAGGCAGGTCAAAAACGGAAGACTCTTTCATCCTTTGTATTGCGCATATATAGACAAGGAAAACCAGCCAACGCCTCCTGTCTCGCCTGTCTCCGGTTATAAAGTCGACGCTTTGAGCAAGCAACCAGGCTCTATCTGAAGTTGTCAACTTTCCATCATTTAGTCATACAGCTGGGATTTAGTTATTTTATATGGTCAGCTTGCATGGTTTTAGCTTCCATCAGTTCAAGACAAGCTTTCTCCTATTTCAAATGTTTCACTGAAACAAAAGGCACACACGATTTTCTGCCTTCCTGGGTTTCTTGCTCTCTCCCTCTCATTAATTTGCAAGCCTGTCACCATCCAAATATGCCAGCTCTCTCTGTAGAATTTTTATATCAACCAGGACAGGTTATTGCCTCAAAAGGACCTATATAAAGGAACCAAGCTGCAGTGCTTCTAACATCATAGAACACAATTCTAGCTCTCTCCTCGTCCTTACTACACATCTCCCTATCTTGGAAAAGCAAAGATGTCATTCTCTTGTCCCAGTAAGCTTTCCTCAACGCTTCTGTTAGTTTCGTTACTTGGTTATCTAATAGGATCCTCAAAAGGTGGCAATTTCTTCCAAGATTTTGACATCACCTGGGGCGATCAACGTGCTAAGATACTAAACGGTGGCCAACTTCTCACACTATCTCTTGACACTGCTTCTGGTTCTGGCTTCCAATCCAAGAATGAATACTTATTTGGCCGAATCGACATGCAAATCAAGCTAATACCAGGCAACTCGGCTGGTACTGTCACTACATACTATGTATGTCTTGGTCCTTATCCTCCAATTGAATTTCTTCTCTGACTCATAAATTTGAGGTTTCTCATATTTTTCTTACTTGTGCAGCTATCTTCTCAAGGGCCGACACACGATGAGATCGACTTTGAGTTTTTGGGCAATGCAACTGGAGAACCATATGTTCTCCATACCAATGTGTTCTCCCAGGGGAAAGGAGATAGAGAACAACGATTCTATCTCTGGTTTGATCCCAGCAAGGCTTTTCACACCTACTCTATTGTGTGGAACAAACAACTCATTATGTATGTAAAAAATGCTCTCAACTTTCAATACTCCTGTATCACCATACAGGTCCCGAATTCCTAATACTAATTTGCAATTTGTTGCGTTTTCATTGCAGTTTCTTAGTGGACAACATCCCAATTAGAGTGTTCCAAAACCTGGAATCAATTGGTGTGGCATTCCCGAACAAGCAAGCCATGAGGATATATTCAAGTCTTTGGAATGCTGATGACTGGGCAACAAGAGGGGGGCTTGTAAAGACTGATTGGACACAAGCTCCTTTCATTTCTTCTTACAGAAATTTCAAAGCCAATGCTTGTATTTGGTCACCTGGATCACCCTGTACCTCCACCTCCCCCATTTCTGTGCAAGACAATGCCTGGCAAGTTCAAGCACTTGATGCCCCGGGGCGCAACAGACTTCGATGGGTGCAGCAGAAGTACATGATTTACAACTACTGCACTGACTTGAAACGGTTCCCTCAGGGTCTCCCACCTGAATGCAAGTGATCAAGATGCCTATGAAGAAACTAGACATTAAGCATCCATTGGTTCATTTTTTAGCAAGTTTGTCCTAAATGATTAGAACATGAAATTCTCTATTTTTCTCGAAGAACATAAATAATGTAATGTGAAATAACTCAATTTCTTAATTCATGTAAAGTTACTTTCTGTTCTACATTCTTTACAAACCTTACGACCCATCTATTACCTTGGCAATAAAAATTGAACATTCGATCAACACATCCCCAAATGAGCATCTTGATGAAATCTTTAGTGTACATCAGACGTAATCATGTTATTAAAGTTGGTCTAATACAGGCCATATTTCATCTTAAATGCCTTGAAACTCCATTCCGACTGCCAATCCTCTATCTTTTCAGTACCATGTTAGAAAGGAAAGGTTATTTTGTAAGAGCTGGGAAGTGCTTCTAAGAAGACAGTTTTGTGTTTTCTCACTCATTTACGATCACCAAACAAGAGATATTTATTATCTTTTGATACATAATCTTCAATTAATACTCATACATCAAGTACATGAGTTACTACATTCAAAATAAATTACAGGACCATATCAAGCACCGGTCAATCTCTATTGTTAGCAAAGACGTCCCTCGTAACCTTGTATTTCTTTGGCTTACCATTACAGCAACACATGGATCCTAAAATAGATATATAAATTAGTCATCACATGATGAAAAACGAATCAACCCATTTTGAATTAGAGCTTCCCAAACAAAGGAGGGAAGATACCTCAGGTGTTTACACCGTTGTGTTAATAATAAAAATTATTTTTTAGATATTTTTTTATTTTTTTAAATTTAATTTTTTCATCAGCATATTAAAACTACCTAAAAACACCAAATTAAATTTTAAAAAAATAACAAAACAGTGATTCAATCCAACGGAAATGTCTATCTATTCTATGCAAACATTTTGGTTGAAGGTATTCATCTGGTTAATTTGGATAGAGTTGCGGAAAGCAGGAAGCATGGTGGCTTGGGCATTAGAACGGCTAGACATCAAAATATTGCTCTGTTGGGTAAATTAAGTTGGCATGTCATTTCGGGCTCTGGTAGTTTACGGAGCTAGGTTTTGAAACAGAAATACCTTGGCCCTAATGACTTAAGATACCATACTCCTCAATCCTCTTCTTGCATTTGGAAATCTAGATAATGGTTTCAATAAATTGAAAGCTGGGTTTATTTGCTCAAACTTCCAAGCACCCTTTCTTGTAACGTTGTGGCCCTTTCTTGCAACGTTGTGGTTCTAACATCTCCTCAAGGTTAACAAAATTCAGATCAACCACTCTCCGAGAATTCAACCAAGAATTAGGCCATCGTTTTTCTTCTTCGTCTTGAAATCCAAGTCAGGGTGGCCCGAGTAAATACGGATCCCATGTAAGCCCGGCCTACATAATCTGTCGATTGCGTCGAACCCTTTTGGTATAGCTTTCGGGCTTTGGCCCCATTCAATAAACATAAACAAGAAATTGCCTAAAAAGGAAGCAAAGCGAATGATTGGGCAAGATTAGTGGGTGAATTAAAGCTGTCCCTTTGTGACATCCGAAAAATTTGTGGATCAATTTTTTAAAATTTAAAACTCAAATCACATCAAGTTTTGAATGGAATTAACTGATTAGCGGTTACAGTTTTTTTTGGGTTAATTTTTTTTTTATTTTTTACATTAATATAATAAAATTATTTAAAATCATTATTAATTTTTAAAAAATCAATTTTAAAAAAAAAACAATACTGCATAAAGAAACACATTTTAAATTAGGCTTATACAATTTAACAACTATTTGTCCCAGTTAACTTTTACTTTTACAATAAGTATAATTAAAGTTGTTTATTAAAATATATATTTTTTATTTTTTAAAAATTTATTTTTCACATCAAAATAATCTAAAAATACTATAAAAATAATTAAAAAATAAAAAATAAATTTAATAAAAAATCAGTTGAACAAAGTTTTAATTATATTCTTAATTTGGCTAGATTTATTTTTAAAATATTTTTATGCTAAAATGTATTAAAATAATTTATTTTATTTTATTTTAAAAAATTATTTTTAAAATCATTAAAAAATTTAAAATAAATTTTTTTAAAATATTTTAAAAACACACATTAACAAACGGTGACCGCCTTTCCAATTTCCAAAAGTTGCCAGATGCCAACCGTTTCAGTTTTTAGCTCTCCAATCAACGCAACACAAAACCAGCTACCATTCAATTCTCTCCTTCTTCCATTACTTACATAAACACAGCAAACGGTCAAAGACTATTGAGTCTACAATTTGTCATTTCCCATCCTCCTCCTCATACCATTCTACGTCAAGGTACTCATCTTCCCTTTTCTATCTTTTCAGGTTTTCCTTTTCTGTGGTCTCAACTTTTTCTTAATTTGTTGTTTTCTTTCACTGATATTTTAGATACATCATATTGTTTGACTTGTTTCCATCGGTTCTTATTTTCCTTCTTATTTTGTGTTGAAATTATTGACCTGGAATCCCATTTAAATAAACAATTTGTGGTTTACTGAAATCCATAACAGACTATTCTGTTCAATGTACATGTCCTTCCGACAGGAGGAAAAGAAAGAGACGGGTTATTTTTGTCTGTTAAATCACTAGTTTTTAACCAAAATGGAGGCGGCTTCAAATGGGAAGATTGAGGAACGACAGGAAGTTATTGAGGAAGCTGAGGTTGTCGGTTCCGGGGCTAAGCTGGCGAGAGAAGTTGTTATAGATAGTACTTCTGATCTAGTGAAAGAAAGTCTTGATGAGAGTATTTCGAGTTTGGATGGCAGCAATGGTTCAAAGGAAGAGGCAGAAGCTAAAGAGAAAAATGCTCAAGTGGAGGAAGCAGGGATACTAGAAGTGGTGGAGAAAGAGGTGGTTGATACAGCTGTTGGATCAACCGAGTTTGTTGTATCTGTGGTGGAAAAATTGACTGAAACTATTGAAGCATCAGTGGAGAAATTGGAAAATTCTGATGTGGTTGAAGAAGAAGTGAAAGAAACCAAAGAGAAGGTTTCCGTGTCTTTGAATGAGACTGATGTGATTCCTCCAGCAGCTGATGGGGAATTACATGAGGTGGTATTGAATGCAACAGATGGGTCGTTTCCTGCTGTAACAGAAGTAATGTCTGAAAAAGTTGAGGAGAAAGTGTTGCAATCTTATGAAGAAAGCAATGCCGCTCCTCCAGCTTTGAACGATGCAGAGTCAAAGGGTAACGAGGAAGTGAAGCAGGCTGCTTTGGAGGAAAATATTGGGGAATCATCGATTAATGTTGATAGGGAAACTGTGGAAAATGTAGAATCTACTACTGTAGTTGGAAGCAGTGATTCTTTTCCTGAAACCACAGGAACTCCGGTCAGTAACTTTATTGGGATTCAATGTTGAAAGTTTGATTAATCGTCCTGATCTTTAGTATTTTTCACTAATTGGTACTCGTGTTCTGTTTTGAATTTCTTCACAGCCTATTATATCCCTTCGACAGCGTAGCCTGCGCCCATCTTGGAAGAGCTGTTGTGGCCTTTTTGAAGCTCTGCGGCCCTCCGATAGATAAATTAAGGTGACCACACTCCTTGAGCAAAAAACTCCGTTCATTGGTTTTCCGCTTTTAGTATATTAAAAGGTCAATCAATCATTTCTTTTGTGTCTAGTATGGGTTTGATTTTGTTGACTGTGGAATGTGAATGGTTTCTAGTAATTATCTTGCTTGCATTTAGACACGCGGCTAAAAACTTTGATGCTAGCAGTTCAGTCAGAAACTTATTCTGATTATCTGGGATTTTGTATGAACTGATTACTAAAATGTTCGTATTTCCCTATGTTATAAGCTTGTGAATTGATAGACAGAAGTTTATCTTCAACACTTAAAGCTGAACATCTGGCAGAGATTTTCAACCTAGAAGTCGTTTATTGGAAAATGTTGTCACTTAATATGTTTATTTCATCACACCAAGACAAACTTGTCCGATAATCAATGATGTATTGGTCATTGCTTTATGCTTTTACTGAACATAAGATCTTGACTGAAATTGATCGCCTGAAGTTTAGTATATACAATATCACCTTCTTTAGAAGGTAGAGATTCTAGTTTCTTTAAGTTTGAAAATTGGCCTTAAATGGAACCGGATACAGAGTGTAAAAAACAGGTCCATGTGGTCAACATCAAATAGTTGGGGCTGAAGTTGAATTGAAGTAACAGAAGGTTGAACCATAGAGGGCAGGGACTGATATAAGGTGGAATCCTGCATTCGCTTTTTCAGGAAAACTCACAAACTCTATTAGTTTTATGCTGATAAAGACTGAAGTTCCAATAATACATTTTCCTGCAACAAAAGAATCCCTCTAGCTAAGTGTTTCTGTAGCATTATTTTTTCTCTCTTCAAGAGGCTTTCCTGAACATTAGTTTCCTGTTAGTCAGGTATATGTCTTTGATTTGTGTAGAACTTTTTTTACTGCTAGATTTAGGACGCTCTCGTTTGGACTGCATCGATCAGATGATTGTGGAAAATCTTTGCCATGTGCTTGTGGCTTTTGCTCCTTTATGATAGCGTGTTTGGATTTTCTGAAACTGTATCATGAAAAGAAAATATTAGAGGGGGATCATTTGAACTTGTTTGAGCGCAAAAGAACTTGAGGGCCCATGACAGGAAATGATGACCAAGTTTTTTGAGCGCGCTGTGTTAGTTATCTTGTGATCCTATTAGCACAGAAGAATTTCAGGGTCCATGTCAGGAGAAATAATGTCTAGAATCTTGTTCGAATCTGTCAGTTACGTGATCCCAGAACTTTTGTTCCGCTAGAAGTTGGGCTAGATTTGGGCTGTCAGTATGTCTGGACTTTGGATCAAAGTGTGATGGTCGTTTATTGGGAATTGTTTAGTCCATTGGCTTTTGGTTAATTGGATGGCTTGATTATAGTCTAGCCAAGACTCTGTCCTGTCAGGAGTCAGGACCTGCCTGCTTTTTGTTGTTTACCTTTATGACCAGATCTGGTTTAACCTCACTCCCTTCGGCGAATCTCCGAGCTTGATGAAGTTATTCTCCTGATACAAATATAAAAGAGCTGCTTTAATATGGGCATGAGTTCAATGTCACTTTCATTTTCCTAAATTTATAATCAGATAATTAAGTGGAAAGTTATCTATTAATTACT